ACAGCCCTGTGGAGTAAACCAGGCTTCCCAGTCTTCCCCAGAGAATTATCTTATGTAAGTCCCAGCCCCTTGGAACATGTTTTGAAAGGGCTCACCCTGCTGGGCACGGTGACTCACACCTGTAATCCCAGCACTTTGGGAGGCTGAGACAGGCGGATCACCTGAGGTCAGAAGTTCAAGACCAGCCTGGCCAACATGGCGAAACCCCATCTCTACTCAAAACACAAAAATTAGCTGGGCGTGGTGGCACGTGCCTGTAATCCCAGCTACTTGGGAGGCTGAGGCAGGATAATCACTTGAATATGGGAGGTAGAGGTTGCAGTGAGCCAGGATCACACCACTGTACCCCAGCCTGGGCAAGAAGAGTGAAACCCCATCTCAAAAAACAAATAAAAGGCTCATCCTTTTCACCGGTTCCCTTGTGGCAAATCTAAAGTAAGGTACACGTGCTCGCCGTTCATTCATGAACTGGTGGAAAAGTTCCAATAGTTTGCAAACACGCTCTACCCATGCCCCGCCCCCACTTGTTCTATTTTTTTTTTTTTTGAGACAGGATGTCACCCTGTCACCCAGGCTGGAGCACAGTAGTGTCATCATAGCTCACTGCAGCCTGGACCTCCTGGGCTCAAGTGATCCTCCTGCCTCATCCTCCCAAGTAGCTGGAACCACACGGGTATCCCACAACACCTGGCTAATTTTTTTGTTTTTTGTAGAGATGGGGTCTTGCCTTGTCGCCCAGGCTGGTCTCATACTCCTGAGCTCAAGCGGTCCTCCCTCTTGGACCTCCCCAGGTGCTGGGATTATGGATTATGGGTATTAGAATCTAAATTTCTTTGCTCAACACCACTCCCCATTGTGTGGTCAACAGTCACATTCTTTCTTGGGCCATGTCATTCATTTTCAGTTGCTTCAGAGCGCTGGTGGCCTGGGTGTGTTGAACAAACCTCAGCCTTTGAGGAGTTTAAAAAAAAAAAAAAAAGACACCATCTCTAGGCAGAAAATTTCAGACAAAGAACTCCTGCCAGGAACACTTCCTGCTGCTGCTCCTACCACTGCCCCTTAGGCTGTGGACCTTTATGCAAGAATGCCAGTGGTAAACTGCCCTACTGTGTGTGTTGTGGGGAGTGGGGATACTGCCAGAGAGGAGAGAGCCTTATTTCATTTCATTTTATATTTTATTTTATTTTATTTATTTTAGAGACTGAGTCTCACTCTGTCGCCCAGGCTGGAGTATAATGACGCGATCTTGGCTCACTGCAACCTCTGCCTCCTGGGTTCAAGAGATTCTCCTGCCTCAGCCTCCCCAGTAGCTGGGATTACAGGCATGCACCACCACGCCTGGCTAATTTTTGTATTTTTAGTAGAGACGGGGTTTCCCCATGTTGGTCAGGCTGGTCTCGAACTCCCGACCTTCGGTGATCCTCCCACCTTGGCCTCCCAAAGTGCTAGGATCAGAGGCATGAGCCACCGCGCCAGGCCGACAGCCCTCTCTAAATCTTTAAAAATTCAGTCAGGCGCGGTGGGTGGCTCACACCTGTAATCTCATCACTTTGGGAGGCTGAGGCAAGAGGAACGCTTGAGCCCAGGAGTTTGAGACCAACTTGGGCAACATGGTGAGACCCTGTCTCAACAAAAAATACAAAAATCAGCCGGGCATGGTGGTGCACACTTGTAGTCCCAGCTACTCAGGAGGCTGAGGCAGGAAGATGACTTGAACCCAGGAGGTCGAGGCTGCAGTGAGCTATGATCACGCCACTGTACTCCAGCCTGGGAAACACTGTATCAAAAAATAAATAAATAAAATCTTTAAACATTCTTCAGCTTATCCCCCTACCTTCTGGGGGCTTCTTGGGTCTCTTCCCAGAAACTTTTTTCTTTATTGTATGCAATTGTTTAAAAAACACAAATGGGTGCATATTCCTATATTCTCTACTCTCTATTTTGAAAGTTCCTTTTTTTTTTTGAGACCGAGTCTCACTCTGTCAATCAGGCTAGTGCAATGGTGTAATTTTGGCTCACTACAACCTCTGCCTCCCAGGTTCAAGTGATTCTCCTACCTCAGCCTCCCCAGTAGGTGGATTACAGGCGCGCACCACCGCACCCGGCTAATTTTTGTATTTTTAGTAGAGACAGGGTTTCACCATGTTGGCCAGACTGGTCTCGAACTCCTGACCTCGGGTGATCTGCCTGCCTCCGCTTCCCAAAGTGCTGGGATTACAGGCATGAGCCACCTTGCCTTTCTCAAAGTTCCTTTTTGGCTTAACTATAGATCTAGGGCACTGTGAGTCTTCCTCATTCCTTCTAGGGCTGCCTAGTGTTCTGGGGTTATTTAACCAGCCCCCTCCTGCCAGGCAGGTCTTTTGTCTCTGACCCTTTGCTACATATATTAGTTTCAAGTTCACTTTGCAAGTGGCCAAGCCTGTTTCCCTCATTTCCAGGTTCCCAGGGAGCAGACATCCTGCTGCAATTTCAGAAGTCAGCACACTCTTCTCTCTCCTGTGAAAGATATAAAAGTCCATGCCCCCCACTCTCCCTCTTGATACTGCCCTATTTTACTTCTTTTCACAACCAGAACTCTTTATTTTTCCCAAATAAAAATAGTCCGTCTTTTCAGGTTATAAAAATGGAACTCTGGCTGGATGCAGTGACCCTCACCTGTAATCCCAGCACTTTGGAAGGCTGAGGAGGGCAGATTACCTGAGGTCAGATTTTTATTTTATTTTCCTTTTTTTTTTTTTTGAGATGGAGTTTTGCTTTTGTTGTCCAGACTGAAGTGAAATGGCACCATCTCGGCTCACTGCAACCTCCGCCTCCAAGGTTCAAGTGATTCTCCTGCCTCACCTCCTGAGTAACTGGGATTATAGGCATGTGCCACCACACTCAGCTAATTTTTGTATATATATATGTTTTGAGACGGAGTCTTGCTCTGTCACCCAGGCTGGAGTGCAATGGCATGATCTCAGCTCACTGCAAACTCTGCCTCCCCAGTTCAAGCAATTCTTCTGCCTCAGCCTCCCGAGTAACCCTGATAAAGGATCAATGACCTTGATAATGTCAATGATAATGACCTTGATAATGACCTTACCTGGATAATGTCATTCCAGGTAAGTATCTCTAACTGGGTGCATGGTCCTCCAAGATTCACAGAAACTTGATCCCACTGAAACTGTATACATAATATTCAACATATGTAGTATGTGCACACATGTGTGAACACTCACATTAAAATTCATCACAATCTTACCCTGGCTTCTCCCCATACTCCTCAGACCCTGACATAGCCTAGTGCATTTTCTCCTTCCTCACTCCCTTCCCTCCATGTGTCCCCTATCCTGACCACCAGGAACGTTGGGCTGCCTCCGGAGTGCATGAGGCACTTGCACATCTCTCTTGCTTTACAAGAGCTTCCCTGTGCTCCAACTGGCAAATTTCTCTATGGACTGAAAAACCCACATAGCCTTTATCTGTCTTGTGATGTCTTCTCCCCACCCCCAAGTTAGGCATATCCTTCTGTGCCCTCCTTTATCCAAACATTTTCCCCACTATATTGTAATTGTGTGTTTAAGTGCCTGACTTTCCAACTAGATACAAAGCTTTCCCAGGAAAGAAACCAACCTAGCCTGTTTGCTTGCTTGCTTTTCTTTCTTTCTTTCCTTCCTTCTTTCCTTCCTTCCTCTCTCTCTCTCTCTTGCTTTCTTTCTTTCTTTCCTCTCTCTCTCTTTCTTTCTTTCTTTCCTCTCTCTCTCTTTCTTTCTTTCCTCCTTTTTTCAGACGGATTCCTGCTCTGTCGCCCAGGCTGGAGTTCAGTGGCACGATCTCGGCTCACTGCAACCTCCGCCTCCGAGGTTCAGGTGATTCTCCTGTCTCAGTCTCCCCAGTAGCTGGGATTACAGGCGCGCGCCACCACACCGAGTTAATGTTTGTATTTTTAGTAGAGATGGGGTTTCACCATGTTGGCCAGGATGGTCTCAATCTCTTGACCTCGTGATCCGGCCCCAGCGGCCTCCCAAAGTGCTGATATTACAGGCGTGAGCCACCGCTCCCGGCAAGAAACCTTTTCTTTTCTTTTTCTATCCTCCTCCTCCTCCTCCTCCTCCTCCTCCTCCTCCTCCTCCTCCTCCTCCTCCTCCTCCTCCTCCTTCTCCTCCTCCTCCTCCGAGGGATTCCTTCTCTGTCGCCCAGGCTGGAGTGCCATGGCGCGATCTTGGCTTACTGCAACCTACACCTCCAGGGTTCAAGTGATTGTCTTGCCTCAGCCTCCCGAGTAGCTGGGATTACAGGCACAAGCCACCACGCCTGGCTAATTTTTTAGGGATTTTTAGTAGAGACGGGGTTTTGCCAAGAATGGCCAGGCTGGCCTAGAACCCGACCTCAGGTGATCCGCCGGCCTTCGCCTCCCAAAGTGCAGGGATTACAGGCATTGGCCTCTGCGTCCAGCCGAGAAACCATTTCTGATTCACTTATTCACTCCCACACTCCCACTACACAGTAGCAAAATAAATAAATAAATATTAAAAATAAATAAAAAAGGAAAGAAAGAACAAAAAAGAAAAGAAAAAGAAAAAAATTTAAATTTAAAAAGGCTGTGCTCGATGGCTCACACTTGCAACCCCAGTGCTTTGGGAGGCTGAAGCAAGAGAATCGCTTGAGGCCAGGAGTTTGAGATCGGCCTGAGCAACATGGCAACGCTGCAAGACCCCCATTTGTACAAAAAGAAAAATAAAATTAATTTTAAAAACAAAAAAGGGAAACACAGTAGCACATGACCTGGCACCATATATGTACTAGTAAAAACTAGTTAAAATTAAGTCAGTAATTACTGAAGGAATAAGTCAATGAGTGAACAGGTGAAGGAAGAAAACAGACACCAGAGCAGGTGCGCCTTGGGTTGAGCCCCTCCCCCCTGAGCCACGCCTCCTGCCCGCCCCCTGGGCCCTACCGGGACTACATTTCCCAGAAGGTCGCACGCCCCGGGCATGCGCAGCGGCGCGCTCGGAAGCTGCGACGCCGAGTTTCACTCTGGCTGCCTTCTCCTGAGAGTCGGAGCCACAGCCAGAGCCCTGCCCAGGCCGTGCCGGAACTGCAGCCTGAGCGCGGTGGTGCCCTCAGTCCCGTCCCCTCGTCCTCCTCAGCCTCGGTGAGAGGGCGGGCAGGCCACCTGCGCGTCGCTAGGGCTGAGGTCCCGGGGGCGTGGGGTGGCGCGGGGAGCTGGAGCCTAGCTGGGACCGGAAGGGGGCGGGCGTGGGTGTGAGGGGGGGCGACGGCCGGGGCGGCGGGGACACCTGGGGGTCCCGGGAGATCGGGGGTGTCGGGGCTATCGGTCTCCGGGATCAAGGTCCTGAGGGCGGGAGTTGGGGGACTTGGGAGGCGCCGGGAGCTTTGGACGGGACAGGGTGCCAGGTGCGAGAGAGGACGTTCGGGTGAAGGCTGAGGGGCTCGCAGGCGGAGGGGCGCCGCTCCCGGGAGTCCGGGTCTCGGGAGGAGCGCACCCCTTCCCAAAGTACCCGGAGGAGGCGGTGACGAGATTGCCACTGCCTCTCTGACGAGGGGTGGGTCCTGCTGGGGTCTACCCCCAGGTGAAGGGACTCACTGGGCCATGGGTTGTACTTTGGAGGAGTTTGCTTCCTAACTCTGCTTCCCTACTCTCCTGTGGGGAGCCTTCCTGGGAGTTCCTGGGGCCCTGGGTCACTTTTTGGGGTCCTTTAGGGGTGCCGAAAAAGATTTAGAACTCGGTTCCCTTTTCTGGAGCTGCGCTTTCATCGCGACTGTCTCAGCCAGCTGCCCTCCTCCTCCAAGCTGGCTCCACTTCTCTAAGCGCCAACAGCGATGGAAATAAATAGCATGTGTACAGACGTCTGGACCCTTGAGAAACTCAGAATGTTTCTGCATGCCCTCCTAGCTCCTCTAGCGCTCTAGAAGGTAGACTTTCTGGTAGCCACCATCCGGGCTTACTTAAGCCATCTGGATAGCAAGCCCTCTGATTCGGTTGCTCTGTGACCTTAAATATTTACCGTCTCTGGTGTGTTGATTTCCTGGATGCTTAGCTGCCAGACTGGCTTATGAAGTCCTTTTAGGGCTTTCCGTGAAAAAGCTCAGGCCAGGCACGGTGGCTCATGCCTGTAATCCCAGCCCTTTGGGAGGCCGAGGTGGAAGGATCACTTGAGTCCAGGAATTTGAGACAAGCCTGGGAAAACAAGAAGATTCCTGAGATCACTGTCTCTGTAAAAAATCAGATGGGCGTGTTGGTGGGTGCCTGTAGTCCCAGCTACTTGGGAGGCTGAGGCAGGAGGATCGCTTGAGCCCAGGAGCTGGAGGCTGCAGTGAGCTATGGTCACACCACTGCACTCCAGCATGGGTGACAGAGGGAGACCCTGTCTCAAAAAACAAACAAACAAAAAAAACAAACTTTTTTTTTTCTTTTTTTTTTTTTTTTTAAAGAAAAGGGCTCAGAGACAGGTGTGGTGATGCATGCCTATAATCTCAGCTACTCAGGAGGCTGAGGCAGGAGAGTTGCTTGAAACTGGGAGGCGGAGGCTGCAGTGAGCCAAGATCATGCCACTGTACTCCAGTTTGGGTGACAGAGCAAGACTCCATCTCCAAAAAAATAATAATAATAATAATAAAAATTTAAAAAGGGCTCAGGGTTTTGTTTGCTTGTTGTTTTTTTCAACTATCTCCTTGATTGTTAAGTGGGTGGAGGAAGACTATTGTACTTTTTGCTCCACCCAGGCTATTGGAAAATAAATCTGGTGATTTTCAGTCCCCAGGCACAGCACACGGATCCAACATCTGTACCTTTGTTTTTTACTAACTGCTGTTTAATTTAAAACCTGATCATCTTCTTCCTAGTTGGCAAAGGTGCCTTGGAATTTGTGTCGCTGAGTCAGCAAGCCTTTCAGATTTGCCCGGTTTTTGTTGTTTGTGGTTTGTATCAAGATGGGAACTCAAACAAGTCATTCTTCCTAAGGAGCTGGTGTCTTCATCCAGAAGGGACGGTTTGTGCCAGCTCTCCAGAGAGAAAAGGTGAGAGCCATGGGGACTTGACCTTGCTGCCTTCTCTATCTGGTGCAGAGAGGGTGGGGATTGGGGAGGGTGGAATTTGAGGTCTGCAGGATAAACGTGCGCCCTGGAAGTTGACTGTTGATTGCCACCTGTCTCAAATAAATTGCAGTGGCGTCTTGCCAGCTGCTTCTCCTGTTTCACTAACTAGTCTTAGAAGATGCTTTCCACTTTAAGACATGCTTTATGGGATGGAAGACACAAGTCACGATTTCTGCATTTGAACTGGCAGTTTTCATTTCTTTTGTTGCATAAACCTTTACTGGGTGCCAGACAAGATCTCTGTCTTTTGGGAGCGCATTGTTTGGTGGAAAAGACAAACCAGAGTCAGCGACAAAGTGTTGTCAGTGTGACACATACTGAGCTGGGGGAAAGCACAAGGCCATCCAGAAAGGGAAGGGCTAGAGGGAGGGTCAGGAAGGCTCCTGAAGGTGGTAGTTGAGGGGGGTTGTGAAGGAGGAGTAGGACTTAGAAAGTGGGGCACAGTCGTCTGGGAGAGGAGTCAGCATTTACAGAGTCATGAAGCTACCAGGACACAGCTGGGCTACTGTAAGTAGCTTAGTATGTGGTAGAGGAAGCTGGAAAAGCAGGCAGAGGGCTGAGCGGGGAGGGTTTTGTGGGCCATGCCAAGACTCAGGAGCGGAAGGATTTTAGAAGATTTCCATGAAGGGTATTTTTGTTATTATTTTTTTGAGTTGGGGTCTGCTGCTGCTGCCCAGGCTGGAGTGCAGTGGAGTGATCATGGTTCACCATAGCCTCAAATTCCTGGGCTCCAGAGTGGCTGAGGTGCCTACCACCATACCCGACTAATGTTTTGTCTAGAGACAGTGTCTCTCTATGTTGTCCAGGCTGGTCTCTAACTCCTGGCCTCAAGTGATCCTCCCATCTCAGCCTCTCAAAGTGCTGGGATTACAGGCCTGAGCCACCGTGCCTGGCCTCATGAGGGACATTTCAAAGGAGCACGCTGGAACGTGTGGAATGGGTTAGACTGGATTATTCACTTTGTGACAGTCTTCTGACACCATGCCAGCTTCTTCATGGGGAGAGGCAGATAAGTGGTTTTGCCCTCGGTTGCTCATAGTCTAGTCGAAGAGATAAAGTGAACATAGAGAACTGATAAGGAAGTTGATAAGAGGGTGTTTTCTTTCATTCATTTTGTTGTTGTTTTGTTTTGCTTGTTTACTTTTTGAGACAGGGTCGTACTCCGTCACCCAGGCTGGAGTGCAGTGGTGCCACCTCAGCTCACTGCAGCTTCGCCTCCCAGGCTCGAGATTCTCGTGCCTCAGCTTCCCGAGTAGCTGGGATTACAGGTGCACACCTTCACGCCTGGCTAATTTAGAGGGTGTTTGCTTTCTGCTGGGTACATCCAGGCTGTTTAAATTGGGCCATAAAAGGGTGGGTAAGGTCAGGACAGGGGACCAAGTGGGTGGGATTCAGGGCGGAGCAGAGTCATGGGGGTGGGGACACCCCGATGCAGATGGGAGTAGTGGATTAAATTACTCTGGCTCTGGAGGGGGATTTTGGTGGGGGAGGTATACATGAGGGGGGATGGAAGGGAAGGGCACCAGCAAATATTGTTGATAGCAAGGGAGGGGCCGTATTGTGATCAACTTTGACTATCAGCCTAAGGAATTTGAATTTCATTCTAGAGATCCAGGGGAGGTGTGTAAAAAACAAGATCAGAATGGTAGTTCAGGAAGCTTAATCTTGTCCCCCGCCCCGCCCCCCCTTCTATCTGAGATGTACGAGAGGGAGAAAGCAGAGTTGGAGAAGCTGTTTGGGAGGGAGTGCTTGTTTGTTTGTTTGTTTGTTTGTTTTGAGATTGAGTCTAGCTCTATTACCCAGGCTGGAGTGCAGTGGCGTAATCTCAGCTCTGCAACCTCCACCTCCCGTGTTCAAGTGATTCTCCTGCCTCAGCTTCCCGAGTAGCTAGGACTACAAACACCTGCCACCACGCCTGGCTGATTTTTGTATTTTCAGTAGAGACGGGGTTTCCCTGTGTTGACCAGCCTGCTGTCGAACTCCTGATCTCAGGTGATCCACCCACTGTGACCTCCTAAAGTGTTGAGATTACAGGCGTGAGCCACTGCACCTGGCGGGGAGGGAGTATTTATTAAAGTGAGAGGCATAAGGGTCCCGGCCAGGTGTTAGCAGGGGGCTTCAGAGTTGAGGGCAGGCAGCTGCTAGGCCTGGGGGAGCGGGCTGAGGACTGAGAATCTGAGGTTTTTCTCTTGGCCGCCTGGGAGAAATCCAGGGGGAAAAGGAGAATGAGGAAGGAAGATGCGTTTGGCCTCAGACGTGTTGAAGGTATTAAGAGGCCAACAGGAAATGAGGCCATGGGCTAGAGAGAAGAGCACTGATTCATTCTCCAAATGCCTCCCGAAATTCTGTGCACCAGGGCTTGTGCTTGGCACTTGGAGTACAAAGATGAATTCAGCAGTCCCTTTGGTGTTTGCCTTATCAGCTAAGCTGAGAACAAGATTGATTAGTACATACTCCTCAGTGTTCATGCCTGACCTACTTTTCCTTATTTAGTAAGTTATTTTTAATAAATGTAGTAAGCTCTGGCAATCTAGGCACCCAAAACAAAAGCTGGGAGCGTGAAACAAAAGTATACATCTAATCTTTTTTTTTTTTTTTAATTTTAAAAAACTTTAAAAAGTTTTCTGTTTTATCAGGTCCCCTTAGAACATCCAATCATTTCATTTGAACTTGTTTTCTGTTCTTACCCTGAGGTAATCATTATCTCCTTTCTTTCATTTTTTTTTGTTTATCTTACATGTGTATTTCTTTTTCTCTTTTTTTTTTTTTTTTTTTTTTTTTTGAGGCAGAGTTTTTGCTCTTGTTGCCCAGACTGGAGTGCAGTGGTGTGATCTCGGCTCACCGCATCCTCCGCCTCCCGGGTTCAAGTGATTCTCCTGCCTCAGATTCCCTAGTAGCTGGGATTACAGGCATGTGCCACCATGCCTGGCTAATTTTATGTTTTTGGTAGAGACGGAGTTTCTCTGTGTTGGTCAGACTGGTCTGAAACTCCTGACCTCAGGTGATCCGCCCGCCTCGGCCTCCCAAAGTGCTGGGATTACAGGCGTGAGGCACCACGTCCAGCCTATTTCTTTTTTTAGAGACAGTGTCTCACCTTGTAACCCAGGCAGCTGGAGTGCAGTGACATGATCATGGCTCACTGCAGCCCCAAATTCCTGGGTCCAAGGGATCCTTCCCCTTCAGCCTTCAGAGTAGCTGGGACTACAGGCACAGGCTACCATGCTCAGCTAATTTTTAAAGTTTGTGTAGAGGCAGTCTCACTGTGTTGCCCAGGCTGGTCTTGAACTCCTAGTCTCAAGTGATCCTTCTGCTTTAGCCTTCCAAAGTGCTGGGATTACAGGCGTGAGCCACCATGCCCGGCCTCCAGGTTTTTGGTATTGTAAGCATTCTGTTCCAAAATTTCCATGTATGTCTATCATACATATGTAAGAATATAAACTTAGGAGCTGGGTTATAGGGTAAATAAATGTTCAACTTTTTTTTTTTTTTTTTTTTTTTTTGAGACAAGATGTTGCTCTGTTGCCCAGGCTGGAGTACAATGGTGTGATCACGGCTTACTACAACCTCTGCCTCCCAGGCCCATGTGATCCTCCTATCTTAGCCTCCCAAGTAGCTGGGGCTACAGGCACGCACCACCATGCCCAGCTAATTTTTTTTTTTTTTTTTTAATAGAGATGGAGTTTCACCATGTTGCCCAGGCTGGTCTTGAACTCCTGGGCTCAAGCAATTCACCCGCCTTGGCCTTCCAAAGTGCTGGGATGACAGAGAGCCACCATGCTCAGCAATGTTCATCTTTCGTAGCTATTGCTAGACTGTTTCATGAATGAAGTGCTTATCCCAGTATCCACTTCACCAGCAGTGTACTGTGTCTTGCAACTCCACGGTCTTACCAACATTTGCTGTTGGCCAAGTGAATGAGTAGAAAATGGAATCTTTGGGAACTTGGTTTCTAGGTCCCTCAGCCCTGTTGCTGACTATCTCCTCTTACATTTATTGGCATCTGTGTTTCCTGTGAAATATTCATGTCTTTTGCCAGTTTTTCAGTAGGGTTCTTGGTGCTTTATTTTTTGTTGATCTATAGGGCTCTTTATATATTGCTGATTTTAATCCTTCGTGTCTATTGCAAATATTTTCTCCCAGCTTTTAACCTATTATTCCGCTTTCTTTAAGGTGTCTTCTGTCGATCAGCCGTTCTTCATTTTAACATAGTGATACGTATTTTTTCACTAGTACTCAGTTTTCTGGGTCTGGTTTGAAGTCTTTTCCTGAACATAATCCTTGCCTTTAAGGAGCTTATGCATTCCCCAGTGGAGGAGACAGATAATGGCACTCAGACGTCATGTGGGCCTTGATTGTTAGAAGTGGTCACTTCTGCCTGTGGAGCGGGAGTGAACATAGGAAAGATCTCACAGGGCAAAGTCTCGAGTTAGGAATTAAGAGATGAGTAAGTGGACAAGGGCAATGGGCATTCTCAGTGGGGGACAAAGGGCATGAAACAGCCTGACCCGCCCCGGGCACTGCCAGGAGGTCCAGATGGCGGGAGCTGAGGGTTTGAGGGGCTCGGGCAGGGCATCATGAGGATGGCTTTGGGTGATCTGTATGCAGGGGAATATTGAAGCCATGGGAACAGATCCTGAGGATCCGGGGGGAATGGAGAGAGGAAGGGGAGAGGGAGACCAGGGCCTGATTCCCGGATGCAGAGAATGTTATCAACGCCTGGTGTGGCTCTGTTGGCATGCTGCCTGCTGTGCTGTTGGATGCTGTATTTCACCCTTAGGTGTTGGGCAAAGGCTGACATGTCTGCAGAGGGCAGGGCGTGTTGTTGGCAAAGCTAGCCAGAGGCAGAGCACTCTCTCCCTTTTTGATAGAGACGTGAGTTCAGAGAAGTCTTGCTCAACTGTAGGAGTGTGAAAGCACGGTAA